GTGAATATTTATATATGTTTAAAATAAGCTAAAAATAAAATATTTAAAAATAAATGTAGCTACTCTAAAATATTAAAAAGTCGTATTGACTATATGCAAAGCGCCCTCTACTGGACAGGTATAATACACACATACATATGCTAGGACACGAGTGTTAGGAAAGTCTTGCTATCAGATGCCAGGGGGAAACATAAATCACACGTGTTCGCAAAACATATGCCGTTCAGTATTTATAAAGCAATAATTGTACATTGATATATGTTTGATAATCAATCGAAAGTCGATTGCATTGATGTTGAGCTGCGAGCACTCACACCACGGTTTGCCTCCTCTTTCGAGGGGCTCTGATAAGACTCACATGATTCATCATGTGGCTCACTAGCCCCGAATGGGGGGAGGGCAGCTGCTTGGTCTCGCCTATCGCTCCGTACTCCGAATGAGTCACTCTGAAGATTTTGGGCGCAGGGAAGAGCAGGTTGTCAATAAACAATTAAATGTCAACTACCAGTGCATAATCAGTCGCTGTTATTTTTATGAACCACTCAAAAGCGTTCCACGATGAATCATTCGGCCCGACGCGCCACGAGCCGCAGTAATCCGTTTACAGGATAGCCCTAGCAGACGGCCCCAAACCACGCAACGACCAATGCTAGATATGTGTTATCTATTCTTGCAGCGGGAACAACGAATGCCATTGATAAATGTTTACATGCGAAAGAGAATATTAAAATATATGCCTTGCCTCTCTTCCACTCTCTCGCTCTCACTCACTCTGGCTCTCGCTCTCTTTTTATACAAAGCATAACAATTGCGTTTGATAAGAGATAATTAATTAATTAGTTGACRCTTCATGCGCTTCAAGGCAAGAAGTAAACAATTTTTCAAAACTTAACAATTAACTAATAGAGATAGACGCAATTGCTATCTGAAGACGTCTCCAAAACAAAAACAAAACCAAAAGCAGAACAAAGCAATGCAAAGGCACATGCATAACCCATGCCCTGTAGCAAATGTGCCGGCATATGCGGGTATATTGTTTGTCACAAATGTGAGTACCT